TATATATATATATATATATATATATATATATATATATATATATATATATATATATATGGTTTTACATCGGCGTCACAATATCCAAATCCGTACATGTTTATGCCAGCCAATCGCAGAGTAGCTGAGTAGCTGGTCACATGACCAAGTTGACGATTCTCTTTACTTGAGGTTCTCTACCTTTTAATAGAAACAAAATCAAAAAAATGTTTACATTCTATCTGTTTGAATTTTACGAGGACCGAGATGTGTTCGAAATAGGTCGAGTTAAACATAAAGTTTGTTTACAAGTTATTATAATCTACGCGTTAGTATAATCTAAGAATAACGATTTAAGATACACTGTCAGAAAACTTTGTATTAATAACTGAGATATAAAGTTTTTTTATATAACTATGTTATAAAAAGTAATAATAAATCAATATTATATTTAATAACACATATTTATGAAAAATCATAATCATAATTTATTTTTCATAATATAGCGATACACAACTTCTGCGATAGCATAAAGGAGAACCGATGAAGAGACTTCTGGATAGAAATCCGTTGAAATTTCGACAAAGGTCACGATGTTTTGCAAGCTGAATCTTTCAAACCACGTAACTAAAACCGTCTCGTATTTATGATATATTAGGAAAATTATTCTAACATATCATAACGTTTTATAATGTTTCGATTTAATATGGAATTTAATAAGAAAACATGGAATATAAGATAGAAAATATTAAATTTTATAAAAAATATGAAATATAACTAATCATAACTAATTTTGTAATAATCTTAATGTTATGAAAATCTTCACTACTTATATATTTTAATATCAAATTCTTAAATTTACTTAAAAACTCTATTAAAAACGCTATTAAGTACGCTATTAAATTTACTAAAAAACGCTATTATTTTTAAAAACTTTTTCTAACAGTGTAGATAGAAAGATAGACAGATAGATCGATAGAAAGAGATAGAGAGAAAGAAACAGATACATAGCAATTAACAAAGAAAGAGAACGATTTACAAGACACTTTTATGTTAAAATATATACCTCAATAAAATATGTAAAATCTTGTATTTACTTTTTAGTATCGCGTCTTTATATTTTAATACATGATTAACGAAAAAAGAAACGATTTTTACATAAGAAAATTATATGATTTCATAACCGTTCATAATGAACGATTAATCGCATTTTACAGATATATCAACGCAACTACGACAAGAATCTTTCTCTCTCTCTTTCTTTTTCAAGTCATCAAATTAAATTAATTAATGAAACTGTACTGTAGAACTATTTTCTATATTATTTTTTTTTATTCTCATTTACAAAAAATCGTAGCTGCTGGAGTTTGTATAAATACTCTGTCTATGAATATCAATTTACAAGATCTACCTGAAAATTTTATACGTTTCATTATTCACTTTATACTTTGAGCAAAATTATAAGATGAAGCCATTGCATGGTTTTCCTCAATTTATCGTAGTGGGTCGTCCTCAATAATTTTCAAAAACCTGAGGAGAATCAAAAGGCTCAGGATGAAGGGATGTTCTTACGCTTTCAGCACATTCCTCGTCATGGTCTTTCGTCGCAACCACTGAACACGCAGCGAAGGCGGACCACTCGCACCGAAGCTCGTTGCGTATGATGCATACAGGTAATTATATTCTTTTCGCCGCTCGCGCGCGTTCACCAGCTACCTTGATGAGCGGAATGAGTTGGGTCTGATCGCGACACATATCGCGTAACACAACCGTTCATTATATAGTAATATTTCTTTTTTTTTTTAATCAAACGAGGTGTGCGTGTATTCTTATTAAACATCTATAACGTATAACAGATCAAAGAAGTTTAAAACATATCTATCCTTTGATAGAAATGTATGCAGTTTTTTGTGTAGACATCCTAGTTATTGCCTAGTCTTCATGCATTCTTATTAGTTATAGAAACGTTACGTAGAGCAAGAACTGGATTCAGTGATTGAAGCATTTTATGAGCATTTTATCAACACAGCAAACTCGGTATCAATTAATCGAATAGTTTTGTCTAGGGTTCGAAGTTTTAGGGGAAAATATTTTTTCCATAAAATTTTTCATATTTTCCTATCCGGTAACTTCTTGAAAACTGCATTAAATGCTAAGGTTCCAATCTACTAAGTCACCGAATCTGTTCAAAACTATACTAAAACAAATTTCAGCGAAACAAATAGGAACGCCAAGTCCAACGCGACTATTCTCTTTGCGCAAAAGAACAAGATCTTTCAACCGCTCTTGATTCTGGGCAGAATCTCTCCGGACTGGCAGCATTTTTTACATTTTCTCCTTTTCTTTTGATGAAATTCGGATATTATCTTGTAAAATATCCCGCGTGTAATCTTCCACGGGAGAATTTAATTTTCCTCAGTTCTTCTAAAAACACAAAAGAGGAAAGTGCATGTTGCGGCTACTCTTAACACGCGTCCGGCTGTGCATGTCATAATGCCGGCATTAGCTTGCCGTTGTACAGCGCGATCGCGTCTAAAGTTATACAGGGTGTCCTAAAACCACCGGAATTGCTCTTAATGGTAGATTCCTTACAATATTTTAAGAAGAAAATTCTAATACAAAAATGTCGAGGCTATAATAGCTTTTAAATGGGAAGCGATTACATTTAACGAATGGCAGAGCTGAGATTTCGCTCAGGTACGGAAAAATGACAAATGCAAAAAGTGCTCCTATTAATGGGGCGCTCTTTTTATGATATTATTGTCGTATAAATTTGCAATATGTTTTCGCTTCTCTATGTATTGCATATTAATAAATTTTTTCATAAATAAAAGATGTAAAAACTAAAGGCATATCAAAAATAATTCAAGTAAAAATTTGCATATTTCAACTTGAGCTGTCAAAGTCAT